TCATCGAGTGGAAGAACGGTGATACATAAAGCTATTTCGAGAGCTAAAAAAGTTATGAGTACCACGTAGGATACGGCAATGAGATAGACTTCGTTCAAAGCTGGTCTCATGAGAATGGCAACCAAACCTTTAATTATATTATTTCAAATTGGAAAAAAACAAAAAAAAACAAAAGAAATTAAACAAAATGGCGGTGTTAGATTTACGCACCTGAATAAACAATAATACAACAGACCAAAGTTATACCGGTACCCAAATGATAATTTTCCGAAAAATTCATTTTGTTTAACAAAGTTTTATTTTTGAAAATTTCTTCGGTTAGAAAATTTTTAGGGGTAACGTCAGTGGTGCCAACTTTTCTTTTCACCCTCTGTTTATTAGTTTTATTTCGTGAAGTTTTATATCTGAAATCTTTATTCGACATTTGAATTCTTTCTCTGAAATGCGTGTACTCTCCAACGTCTTCAAAATCATCATCGTCATCATCATCATCATCATAATCTTCTTTCACGACTTTTTTTTTAGTTAAATTTAAATAATTTGTAGTTCGCATATTTGGATTTCTTATTCTCTCCAACAAACTTATACTTGATTTTTGCCTGTTTTCTAACGGATGAAAAATTTTACGAATAGGTGGAGGAGTAGGAGGAGGAGGAGGAGGTTTTGTTTCCGCGATAACCGTCGGCGAAGATTCTTCTAAAATCATTTGAGTCGTTGTTGGAATTTTTTCCCGCGGTGAAATACTTGATAGTAAAGACTCCAAATCGGAATTCATCGTTAAATTTCCGGGGGTTTCATCGAATTTTTCATAATTAACGCGTCCGCGAGATGTGATGGTTAGAATGAGTTGCAAAATACCCAAAATGGCACACATGGCTAATAACAAACCTAATAAATGTGTCATGTTACTTTGATTCATTCGTATGAAATATCTTTGGTATAACATTTCGACCTAAAAATTACAATAAATCCTTCATTTCCCGCGTACCTAATCAAGTTTTCTTTTTTTTTTTTTTTCGTAATGTTACAAACCTGTAGATTTTTAAACGCGTGCGATTTACACAATCTCCTCATCATTCGTCTAAGCGTCCATCTATTATTCGATTTACCGACGAGTAAAATACTTTCGACTCCTCCCGAATTATTTCTACGTCTGACTAAAACATCTTTAGGTTTGTGATTTTTGGCCAAAGTTGATGGTCTTCTCATGGTATTACTTCTAGAAAGTGAATTTGGAGTTGTCGTGACCGTACCTTGACCACAATCCAAATCCGATTCGTTATTTAACATGCAAGTAGTTTCTTCTTCTTCTTCTTCTTTTATACTTTGACCCCTAGTCACTCCTATCTGAATATATACATATACATAAAAAATAATCCTTTTATCAAACGATATTTGTAATAAACTTTTTTTTTCTCTTTTTTTTTGTCGCAACTTTTTGAAAGAATTTAATGACGTAATAAATGTTAAAGTATTGTAAAAAAATAATAATAATATGTATCATGAAAAAAATATATAAACTTATATCGATCGTAAATGTTTAAAAGAAAAAAAAAAAATCAGTTACGACGACAATGTATGTAAAATTTTTTTAAAGGTTGAGTTTAAGGGGGGGGGGGTTATTATGAAATTATCGTTTAAAAAATTATGTGAATTTAATAATCCGTTTTTTCTGAACTTTTACGACGGAAAAAAAAACTCGTGTTAACAATTTTACTGAACATTTTTCCAATCGTAAAAAAAAAAAAATTTATTTAATAGATATTCGAAAGAAAAAAAATATTTTTTTAAAAAAAATTCATTTATTCTTCATTTATTTTCGAAAGACTAAATAATAATATTAAGTAGAAAAAGGAAATTGAATAATTTTGAAAAGGAAACCGGAAACGGAACAACAAAAACCCCGCCCCCCTCTTTCGATCAACCGATTCGTATCGTTTTACTTTTAAAATAATTTTTTTTAATAATTTAAAGGTATTTAAATTAATTTTTTTTTTTCGGGTGTTTGTAGCATTTTTTTGAAATAGAAAAATTTATTTATTTATTAAGAATTTTAAACTTTAATAAGAAGGAAAAAAAATAATAATAATAATAATTTATTTAAAAAAATTACGTTTTCAATTTTTAAAAAAATTAAAAATTTTTTCAAATCGTTTGCACGCCATTTTTTTTTTTTTTTTTTGAATAAAAACGAATTGAAATCGTTTGAAAATGTCGAAATTAAATTAAATTATTTATTTTTTAATTAATTAATTAATTAATCTCACGAATTTAATTAATAATTATTAAATAAAATAAATTTTTTTAATTTTTATTAAATTTGGTGCATGCGTTGTTATGCGAACGTATTTAAAGTAATAAATTGAAATCGTAAACCATTCAAAAGGATTTTTATTGTTTTTTTT